TACAATGGTTAGACCGTTGGTTAGACTGTTCCAATAGACAGATACAATGGTTAGACCGTTGGTTAGACTGTTCCAATAGACAGATACAATGGTTAGACCGTTGGTTAGACCGTTCCAGTAGACAGATACAATGGTTAGACTGTTGGTTAGATTGTTCCAAAAGACAGATACAATGGTTAGACCGTTGGTTAGACTGTTCCAATAGACAGATACAATGGTTAGACTGTTGGTTAGACTGTTCAAATAGACAGATACAATGGTTAGACCGTTGGTTAGACTTCCAATAGACAGATACAATGGTTAGACCGTTCCAGTAGACAGATACAATGGTTAGACCGTTGGTTAGACTGTTCCAATAGACAGATACAATGGTTAGACCGTTGGTTAGACTGTTCCAATAGACAGATACAATGGTTAGACCGTTGGTTAGATTGTTCCAATAGACAGATACAATGGTTAGACCGTTGGTTAGACTGTTCCAATAGACAGATACAATGGTTAGACTGTTGGTTAGACTGTTCAAATAGACAGATACAATGGTTAGACCGTTGGTTAGACTGTTCCAATAGACAGATACAATGGTTAGACCGTTCTAGTAGACAGATACAATGGTTAGACCGTTGGTTAGACTGTTCCAATAGACAGATACAATGGTTAGACCGTTGGTTAGACTGTTCCAATAGACAGATACAATGGTTAGACCGTTGGTTAGACTGTTCCAATAGACAGTTTCAATGGTTAGACTGTTGGTTAGACTGTTCCAATAGACAGATACAATGGTTAGACCGTTGGTTAGACTGTTCCAATAGACAGATACAATGGTTAGACCGTTGGTTAGACTGTTCCAATAGACAGATACAATGGTTAGACCGTTGGTTAGACTGTTCCAATAGACAGATACAATGGTTAGACCGTTGGTTAGACTGAGGCTTATCACCAAGCGCGATAAGGCGAGAGTGCGAGGCCTGAAGTGGGCTTGAGATATTGATTTTCCTGTTGACTTTAGAGACCTCCAGCAGAAGCCAAGGACCGCCCGTGAAATCTGGGCTGTCGTTACATTTGTCACAACACTGGGCTGTCGTTACATTTGTCACAACACTGGGCTGTCGTTACATTTGTCACAACACTGGGCTGTCGTTACATTTGTCACAACACTGGGCTGTCGTTACATTTGTCACAACACTGGGCTGTCTTTACATTTGTCACAACACTGGGCTGTCGTTACATTTGTCACAACACTGGGCTGTCGTTACATTTGTCACAACACTGGGCTGTCGTTACATTTGTCACAACACTGGGCTGTCTTTACATTTGTCACAACACTGGGCTGTCGTTACATTTGTCACAACACTGGGCTGTCGTTACATTTGTCACAACACTGGGCTGTCGTTACATTTGTCACAACACTGGGCTGTCGTTACATTTGTCACAACACTGGGCTGTCGTTACATTTGTCACAACACTGGGCTGTCTTTACATTTGTCACAACACTGGGCTGTCGTTACATTTGTCACAACACTGGGCTGTCGTTACATTTGTCACAACACTGGGCTGTCGTTACATTTGTCACAACACTGGGCTGTCTTTACATTTGTCACAACACTGGGCTGTCGTTACATTTGTCACAACACTGGGCTGTCGTTACATTTGTCACAACACTGGGCTGTCTTTACATTTGTCACAACACTGGGCTGTCGTTACATTTGTCACAACACTGGGCTGTCGTTACATTTGTCACAACACTGGGCTGTCGTTACATTTGTCACAACACTGGGCTGTCGTTAGATTTGTCACAACACTGGGCTGTCGTTACATTTGTCACAACACTGGGCTGTCGTTAGATTTGTCACAACACTGGGCTGTCGTTACATTTGTCACAACACTGGGCTGTCGTTACATTTGTCACAACACTGGGCTGTCGTTACATTTGTCACAACACTGGGCTGTCGTTACATTTGTCACAACACTGGACTGTCGTTACATTTGTCACAAAACTGGGCTGTCGTTACATTTGTCACAACACTGGGCTGTCGTTACATTTGTCACAACACTGAGCTGTTGTTAGATTTGTCACAACACTGGAATGTTGTTAGATTTGTCACAACACTGGGCTGTCGTTACATTTGTCACAACACTGGGCTGTCGTTACATTTGTCACAACACTGGGCTGTCGTTACATTTGTCACAACACTGGGCTGTCGTTACATTTGTCACAACACTGGGCTGTCGTTACATTTGTCACAACACTGAGCTGTTGTTAGATTTGTCACAACACTGGAATGTTGTTAGATTTGTCACAACACTGGGCTGTCGTTACATTTGTCACAACACTGGGCTGTCGTTACATTTGTAACAACACAATCACATTCACAGTGTCTGCTGCGGTCTAACCAACATCACATCTCTAACCAACTCTAACCAACATCACAACTCTAACCAACATCACAACTCTAACCAACATCACAACTCTAACCAACATCACAACTCTAACCAACATCACAACTCTAACCAACATCACAACACTAACCAACTCTAACCAACATCACAACTCTAACCAACATCACAACTCTAACCAGCATTACAACTCTAACCAACATCACAACTCTAACCAACATTACAACACTAACCAACTCTAACCAACATCACAACTCTAACCAACATCACAACACTAACCAACTCTAACCAACATCACAACTCTAACCAACACCACAACACTAACCAACTCTAACCAACATCACAACTCTAACCAACATCACAACTCTAACCAGCATTACAACTCTAACCAACATCACAACTCTAACCAACTCTAACCAACATCACAACTCTTACCAACATCACAACTCTAACCAACATCACAACACTAACCAACATCACAACTCTAACCAACATCACAACTCTAACCAACATCACAACTCTAACCAACATCACAGCTCTAACCAACATCACAACTCTAACAAACATCACAACTCTAACCAACATCACAACTCTAACCAACATCACAACTCTAACCAACATCACAACACTAACCAACATCACAACTCTAACCAACATCACAACTCTAACCAACATCACAACTCTAACCAACATCACAACACTAACCAACTCTAACCAACATCACAACTCTAACCAACATCACAACACTAACCAACTCTAACCAACATCACAACTCTAACCAACATCACAACTCTAACTCTGACAATCTGACACTGACTGTAGTACTGGAGAACTGAAATAAACCGGGAGTGATCTCCCCTAAACTTTCTCGAATATTCTTATATAACACTAAGGGGGATAGCACTCGGGATATGGTTTTTAATCCATTTTTACTTTCTCGTATACAGAGTATAGTGGAAGTATTGTAATCGTGCACACAAATCAAATGAAATTTTGACAGTTTTCATAGTTTTACACCTCGGTACTTCATCATATACGGATGATAGGGGACTTGTTTTAATCGGGCAAAAATTATAAAGCAGATTTTTCAAAAGTTCGGCGTTCAATGCGTAATCCAGTCGGAAAAACATGGGCTTTGCTGTTCTGTCCGTATGTCTGTGTGTGTGTGTGTGTATGTGTCTGTGTGTATGTGTCTGTGAACAAGATAACTTGAGTACCGTTAAGCTAGGTGGATGAAATTTCACATGTAAGTATTCTATAAATTTGTATAAACTTTTCAACGATTTTCGGTAACCGGAAATAGAACTTATTCTACTTTCAACTGTTTGCGTGCTGTTTCAATAGATTTATGAAATTTCACACGTAAGTGAAAGATCTAATTCTCTGCCTTCCGTCAAATTTTGAGTCATTTCCGTTGACCGTAAGTAGTAGTTTTCGCTATTTCCGATTTCTCAAAAAAAAAAAAAAAAAAAAAAAAAAAAAAAAAAAAAAAAAAAAACGCATGTAAATTTATAGAGTACTAATAATATTCCGCACTATTGTTTGGCCTTCACTTGGTGCGCAATTCTTTTTTTAAAAAATAGAATAGAATTGAAACATAAACACACACACACACAGACATAAGGACAAAATTGCAAAACTATGTTTTTTTCGACTCAATGAGATGTAAAGCGTCAAGATTTGTAAAAATCTCGATTTTTTTTTGCACGATTACAATGCTTCCTGTATATTTCGAATACGAGAAAGTAAAAATAACAGCAAATACCAACTTTACCGAAAACTGAAAACATCTTAGACTAGACTACCCGTAGACAAGGCTACATTTAGACTAGGCTATCTGTAGACAAGGTTACCAGTAGACTAGGATACCTGTAGAAAAGGCTACCTGTAGACTAGGCTAATTCTAGACAAGGCTACCTGTATAGGCACCTTCATGACGTTTAACATCCATGTGTACACTGGTAAGTAAAGCAATTCTCTCCCCCCCCCCCCCACAGCCCTACATAGTAATCCTCACACATTTCTCAATTAAACTTCGCTGTATGTACGTAAATTACACGAATACCAGAATATATTGGACCGGTAGAGTCACATACAGCAATACAAACTTCCACCGTCACATACAGCAACACAAACTGTGACCAGATGGTAGTCACAAAATTGTTGAATTATAGGGGACGAGATGCAAGCTGAAAGATGGTATTAACTATTTGAAAAGATGAAAGTTGATAATAGCTGTTAGAAAAATTGAAAGTTGATAATAGCTGTTAGAAAAATTGAAAGTTGATAATAGCTGTTAGAAAAATTGAAAGTTGATAATAGCTGTTTACAAAGATGAAAGTTGATAATAGCTGTTAGAAAAGTTGAAAGTTGATAATAGCTGTTTACAAAGATGAAAGTTGATAATAGCTGTTAGAAAAGTTGAAAGTTGATAATAGCTGTTTACAAAGATGAAAGTTGATAATAGCTGTTAGAAAAGTTGAAAGTTGATAATAGCTGTTTACAAAGATGAAAGTTGATAATAGCTGTTTACAAAGATGAAAGTTGATAATAGCTGTTAGAAAAGATGAAAGTTGATGGATGACGTGATGTTAGGGTCCACCCACCTGAGACATGATCCGATCCGCCCCTGTCCCCTCCTCATCTTTGAAGAGAATGTCAGGGTTATTGTTCCTGACTAAGTCCTTGAACTTGGCGTCCGATCTTTTGATTGGCCCGTCCGTCAGGCCGCTCGCGCCCAGGGTGTTTTCGCTGACGTTAGGCACGTGCTGCTTGAAGACGAGGGGCGTCAGTTTCCGTGGGCGTTTCCGCCGCCCCGACCCCCTCCCCGGGCCGCACCCCTCTCCAATCGAGAGCAGCAGTAGCAGAAGAAGTGACGTCACTATGGCTCGCCCACCGTCTCTAACCAGCATTGTGTCTGAGGAAGATGTTGCTCATTTAGTCAGCGAATGATTCAGTCATGAGGAAGATGGTGCTCATTTAGTGAATGATGCAGTCATGAGGAAGATGGTGTTCATTTAGTCAGCGAATGATTCAGTCATGAGGAAGATCGTGCTCATTTAGTCAGCGAATGATTCAGTCATGAGGAAGATGTTGCTCATTTAGTCAGCGAATGATTCAGTCATGAGGAAGATGGTGCTCATTTAGTGAATGATGCAGTCATGAGGAAGATGGTGTTCATTTAGTCAGCGAATGATTCAGTCATGAGGAAGATCGTGCTCATTTAGTCAGCGAATGATGCAGTCATGAGGAAGATGTTGCTCATTTAGTCAGCGAATGATTCAGTCATGAGGAAGATGGTGCTCATTTAGTGAATGATGCAGTCATGAGGAAGATGGTGCTCATTTAGTGAATGATGCAGTCATGAGGAAGATGGTGTTCATTTAGTCAGCAAATGATTCAGTCATGAGGAAGATGGTGCTCATTCATCTATTCAGTCATTTACTAATGGAAAAATGATTAATTTGGTCATTCAATGATTGATTCATTCATTCGTCCATTCAGTAATGTATTTATTTTTATGTTTCATTGATTAATTTAGAAATCCATTTAAAAAGTGATACAATTATTGTTCGCTTGATTGAGTGATGGATTCAAATAGCAATACACGATGTCTATAATTCATTGAGTGAGGGATTCAAATAGCAATACACGATGTCTATAATTCATTGAGTGATGGACTAAACTAGCAATACAGGATGTCTATAATTCATTGAGTGAGGGATTCAAATAGCAATACACGATGTCTATAACTCATTGAGTGAGGGATTCAAATAGCAATACACGATGTCTATAATTCATTGAGTGATGGACTCAAATAGCAATACACGATGTCTATAATTCATTGAGTGATGGACTCAAATAGCAATACACGATGTCTATAATTCATTGAGTGATGGATTCAAATAGCAATACACGATGTCTATAATTCATTGAGTGATGGACTAAACTAGCAATACACGATGTCTATAATTCAGATACAGAGGTACAGATATACAAAGATACATATATACTGAGATACAGAGATATAGAGATATAAGGATACAAAGATACAGAGGTACAGAGATACAGAGATACAGAGGTACAGAGATACTGAGATACAGAGATACTGAGGTACAGAGATATTAGCAAACATTTACGGATGGCTCTATTGGGGAGGGGGGATTAGATAAAAGGTGTGAACTAAAATAGAGATACACTGAGGAATGGATACATAAAGTTTAAATAAAGGAGACGTTAGTCAATTTGGTAGAGATGGGCATTTAGCTGTTGTATGGTAGATCATTAGCGTCGACCTATGTTAATTGTCGCCTGTTGTTTGGAGTTATCTTGTCATTGTGCTTTGGGTCATGTGTGAATGTTTTTGGTTCAGTTTTATCCCTTTTATTTGCCGATAGGTTGCCTAGCAGTGCTTTATCGTGTTAGTGGCGTGGTGCTTTATCGTGTTAGCGGCGTGGTGCTTTATCGTGTTAGCGTCATGGTGCGTTATTGAGTTAGTGGCGTGGTGCTTTATCGTGTTAGCGGCGTGGTGCTTTATCGAGTTAGCGGCATGGTGCTTTATCGTGTTAGCGTCATGGTGCTTTATCGTGTTAGTGGCGTGGTGCTTTATCGTGTTAGCGCGCATTGGGGTTGGATCATACTCTCGTCTTCTGCTGGTACTGTCTTTAAATATCACAGATACGAAGTTTAGCGATCCAACGATTTAAACAAATGCATTTAGACAGTAGTTTTAATATCACTGCCCTCAATGGTAGAGGCAGTAGATTTAATGTCACTGCCCTCAATGGTAGAGGCAGTAGATTTAATGTCACTGCCCTCAATGGTAGAGGCAGTAGATTTAATGTCACTGCCCTCAATGATAGAGGCAGTAGATTTAATGTCACTGCCCTCAATGATAGAGGCAGTAGATTTAATGTCACTGCCCTCAATGATAGAGGCAGTAGATTTAATGTCACTGCCCTCAATGATAGAGGCAGTAGATTTAATGTCACTGCCCTCAATGATAGAGGCAGTAGATTTAATGTCACTGCCCTCAATGATAGAGGCAGTAGATTTAATATCACTGCCCTCAATGGTAGAGGCAGTAGATTTAATATCACTGCCCTCAATGATAGAGGCAGTAGATTTAATGTCACTGCCCTCAATGATAGAAGCTGTAGATGTCACGGATCTCAATGATTGGGGCAATAGATTTGTCAAAGATTTCACCGAGTCTCTCCTAGTTTGTCAAAGAGGCAAACAGAAGCATTAAAGTTGAAACATATCATATCACCAGCAACTGAATGGGGTGGGGGTGGGGGGGGGGTGAGAGAAGCCAGAGATAAATCCCCGGCCATGGCAACCAAGGTATGGTGTTCTGCTACGGTCTCGCAGCCAGTTGGGTTGCTGTCGATAGCTGTTTGTGGAGGTGTGGTGGTGATGAGGGAAGGGCAGCAGGGGGCTTCATGTGTGGAAGGGCAGCATGGGGCATCATGTGTGGAAGGGCAGCAGGGGGCATCATGTGTGGAAGGGCAGCAGGGGGCATCATGTGTGGAAGGGCAGCAGGGGGCATCATGTGTGGAAGGGCAGCAGGGGGCATCATGTGTGGAAGGGCAGCAGGGGGCATCATGTGTGGAAGGGCAGCAGGGGGCATCATGTGTGGAAGGGCAGCAGGGGGCATCATGTGTGGAAGGGCAGCAGGGGGCATCATGTGTGGAAGGGCAGCAGAGGGCATCATATTTGTTTAGGAGCGTACATCAACATCTAGGTTTCTGTGAGATTTGACGAGTTTAAGATTGAACTCAATGAACACACGTAATGGGACAAACAGGATCACTGGTAGCTACTGACTATGGTAGCTACTGACTATGGTAGCTACTGACTATGGTAGCTACTGACTATGGTAGCTACTGACTATGGTAGCTGCTGACTATGGTAGCTGCTGACTATGGTAGCTGCTGACTATGGTAGCTGCTGACTATGGTAGCTGCTGACTATGGTAGCTGCTGACTATGGTAGCTACTGACTATGGTAGCTACTAACTATGGTAGCTACTGACTATGGTAGCTACTGACTATGGTAGCTACTGACTATGGTAGCTACTGACTAAGTTGCCAAAACTCAGACATATTTGTTTTTAATTTTCATCAAAATTTGTTTATCGATTTGATACTACTATGCCCTGCGTGCTTTTTAAAATTTCAATATGATTTTAACTCAAATTTGAACATGACTTTAGCTCAAATTTGAACATGACTTTAGCTCAAATTTGAACATGAGTTTAGCTCAAATTTATAACATTAGACCGGGTCGTCTGCTGAATGGTTTGGTCGTCTGCTAAAGTTAACTAAATGGTTTCTGCATTGGTTTGGTGAAATCAACTTTGGCAGTTGTCTATAAATACAAGACAAACACATTCTGGAGTTGGCGCGTAACATTTCATACATTTCGGATGTTTGCATTTTAAAACTTGAGCAAATATTCCTAAACTGTTTACATTTCGATTATGATTGGCTTTAGGGTCTCGACTTCTGTGTGTGTTGAAGCTCATTCCGTTTATGTGTGTGTGTCATCAAGAATTGTGTCGCCCAAAAGTCGCCCTAAACCTGTGTGTCGCCCAAACGCTGTGTGTCGCTTAAAAGCTGTGTGTCGCCCAAAAGTTGTGTGTCGCCCAAAAGTTGTGTGTCGCCCAAAAGTTGTGTGTCGCCCAAAAGATGTGTGTCGCCCAAAAGTTGTGTGTCGCCCAAAAGTCGCCCAAAAGTTGTGTGTCGCCCAAACGCTGTGTGTCGCCCAAAAGTTGTGTGTCGCCCAAAAGATGTGTGTCGCCCAAAAGTTGTGTGTCGCCCAAAAGTTGTGTGTCGCCCAAAAGTCGCCCAAAAGTTGTGTGTCGCCCAAACGCTGTGTGTCGCCCAAAAGTTGTGTGTCGCCCAAAAGGTGTGTGTCGCCCAAACGCTGTGTGTCGCCCAAAAGGTGTGTGTCGCCCAAAAGTTGTGTCGCCCAAAAGTTGTGTGTCGCCCAAAAGTCGCCCAAAAGCTGTGTGTCGCCCAAAACTTGTGTGTCGCCCAAAAGTCGCCCAAAAGGTGTATGTCGCCCAAACGCTGTGTGTCGCCCAAAAGTCGCCCAAAAGTTGTGTGTCGCCCAAAAGTTGTGTGTCTCCCAAAAGTTGTGTGTCTCCCAAAAGCTGTGTGTCGCCCAAAAGTTGTGTGTCGCCCAAAAGTCGCCCAAAAGTTGTGTGTCGCCCAAACGCTGTGTGTCGCCCAAAAGTTGTGTGTCGCCCAAAAGTCGCCCAAAAGTTGTGTGTCGCCCAAACGCTGTGTGTCGCCCAAAAGTTGTGTGTCGCCCAAAAGTTGTGTGTCGCCCAAAAGTTGTGTGTCGCCCAAAAGTTGTGTGTCGCCCAAAAGTCGCCCAAAAGTTGTGTCGCCCAAAAGTTGTGTGTCGCCCAAAAGTTGTGTGTCTCCCAAAAGCTGTGTGTCGCCCAAAAGTTGTGTGTCGCCCAAAAGTCGCCCAAAAGGTGTGTGTCGCCCAAAAGTTGTGTGTCGCCCAAAATTGTGTGTCGCCCAAAAGTTGTGTGTCGCCCAAAAGTCGCCCAAAAGGTGTGTGTCGCCCAAACGCTGTGTGTCGCCCAAAAGTTGTGTGTCGCCCAAAAGCTGTGTGTCGCCCAAAAGTCGCCCAAAAGTTGTGTGTCGCCCAAAAGTTGTGTGTCACCCAAACGCTGTGTATCACCCAAAAGTTGTGTGTCGCCCAAAAGTTGTGTGTCGCCCAAAAGTCGCCCAAAAGTTGTGTGTCGCCCAAAAGTTGTGTGTCACCCAAACGCTGTGTGTCGCCCAAACGCTATGAGTCGCCCAAAAGTTGTGTGTCGCCCAAAAGTTGTGTGTCGCCTCCAGCCTCTAGCACGTCCGTGTTTGTTTGCTGAGATGTCCTGGGGCACCAAGTCAAGTCACAGGGTTAACCCACAGGGCGACGTGCAAACATTTTACCTTCAGGTTTTTCACATTTTTTTTCTTATCCAACCTTCTTTTAACACGGTCTGTCCACACACAGGACCCACACACAGGACCCACACACAGGACCCACACACAGGACCCACACACAGGACCCACACACAAGACCCACACACAAGACCGACACACAGGACCCACACACAGGACCCACACACATGACCCACACACAGGACCTGATGTCGTCTACACACAGGACCCACACACAGGACCCACACACAGGACCTGATGTCGTCTACACACAGGACCTGATGTCGTCTACACACAGGACCCACACACAGGACCCACACACAGGACCCACACACATGACCCACACACATGAACCACACATAGGACCCACACACATGACCCACACACAGGACCCACACACAGGACCTGATGTCGTCTACACACAGGACCCACACACAGGACCTGATGTCGTCCACACACAGGACCCACACACAGGACCCACACACATGACCCACACAGGACCCACACACATAACCCACACACAGGACCCACACACAAGACCCACACACAGGACCCACACACATGATCCACACACAGGACCCACACACAGGACACTCACACAGGTGCTGATGGCGTCCACATAAACGAATTAACAATATAATTAGATGCAAGGGAAATTTAACTGGTTGAGATGATTTAGCTAAGTTAGCTGTACTTTAAAATGTTTCAACTATTACAATTTTTTAAATGAAATGTTTTGAATATTGCGCGTTTTTATATTATGACTGATTTTACAAACTTTTCTTCATGCTTTGATAATTTAGCATTTATGATAATAACATATTTAATTCTGATTGTGGACAAATATATTTGTTAAAAGAACTGTAATAATTTAATATATTAAACAAAAAAAGAAATGATTGATCAAGTTGAATAAGTAAATTACAATTAAATGTGTAGGCTATATATCTATATATATTAAGAGAGTGATTATATCCCCTGCAATATTGCGCTTGTTTTAAATATTAATATACCCTGTGCCATGGTGTACAATTGTTTTCTACAAGAATGACGAAACAATAAATGACGCGATTCTTGTTTTTGTTTGTGTTGTGTATATGTTTTATGTGTATTTAGTTTTGTGTAATAAATTGTTTAGTGTTTCATTCCTTTGTTTTCTTATTTTTGAATGTATTTGACACTGTAGCAATAACAGCCAGTGTGTGTGTGTTTATTTATTTATACAGTGGCGTCGCTAGGTCGGTTGTCACTCAGTGCGGTACCTCATAGTGTCACCACCTCCCACCCACACCACATAAAAAACAACGTATAGGCTATATATATATATATATATATATATATATATATATATATATATATATATATATATATATATATATATCGACCTGCCACTCCCCCTAACCTCATCACCTGCGTGCGCCTCAAGTTGTTAAGTTAGGCAAGACCGGAGTTTTGAATTAAGTTGGTCGACCAATGCATACGTAAAAAATAATTGAATCTGTAAAAAATAACATTTAACTTTTCTAAAATAACATTTAAACTTCATAAAATGACATTTAATACCTATAAATGACATTTAATACATATAAATATCATTTATTCAAGAGTACGTTTTAGTAATTTTCATAAGTGATCATTGTCATCCTAATTCGTTTCTTAAAATTCATTAACGTGTTGATTATAGATGTGTTTGCATTAATGCCAATAATCAGTAAAATAACACCATCAAATAGGTGATCACATGAGCTTGCCCGGTCCCTTCGTGTCGTTTATTTTATTTTAGTTTAGATCTAGATTCGTAAATGTATTTTAGATTATGATGTTTTAAATCTGGTTTGTTAAACTTTAATTATAAATTTATTAATAATTAATTATTAATGCTTGTTATTTTTAAAATTAAAAATCAGCAACAAAAGCAACGTTATACGTTGGAGTTTTGGGTTAGGCTTAGGGGGGGGGGGGGGGAGGGTGGAATTACCTTGGGGTAATTGACAGGGTGGGGATAAGTAAAAGATCTAATTTTCTGCCTTCTGTCAAATTTTAAGTAATTTCCGTTTACCGGAAGTAGCAATTTACGCTATATCCGATTTCTCCACAAAAAAAAACGCATATGAATTTATAGAGTACTAATATTCCGCACTATTATACATATATGGTTTGGAGTTCACTTGGTGCTCAATTCTTTTTTGGAACGAGATTCTATTCTATTTTTAAAAGTTTAAGTAATTAAAAATGGATTAAAAATATTGTCTATATCCCGAGTTGCCATCCCCAGTAGTGGTATCCTAATATATAAAAGCCCATGTACGCACTTCTCTCTCTCTCTCTCTCCACATTATTTTTAGGCGATGTGATCAGTGTTTACAGCGATATATGGAGAACTTAAAGATATGGGTGTTTTTTGAAAATAAAATATGGTAGATGTTATAAATGTATTAACTAAATTTTAATTAAAGCAGGAAAATAAAAATAAAGGCATATTCGAATGTAGAAATAAATTTTTAATTATGCAGCCGGAAAAGTGTTTATTGTCGTGACAATAACGCCATAAACAATGACGTCAATGACACATGTTTAAACTAATGGCGTCATCTTCCAATTTTAGAATATGAAAAAATGAACTACTTCATTCAAATTTGATTTAGATCTATGGATCAACTTATCAAGACGTACGCTATGAAATGTTTACAATTTTCTTGGTTAAAATAAATACAAATTACTTTAAACAAGTAATTAAAAAAAGTCTAATGACAATTTTAGCGCAATTTCCTTGTGCTATCTAAAAATAGCTCTGTCGTAGCGTAAATCAAGAGCAGGGTTAGTAAAACCATTGGTTAGTTATTAAACCGTTTTTTATTAATTTTTTTTTCAGTATTTTACATGTTTTATTTACAATAGAGTAACATGACTAAAAACCATTGCGCGCCCAGCTACCGAACGTGACGTTGCAGCCATTGAACGTGATGGCGCAGCTATTGAACGTGATGGCGCGTGTGGTGTGGTTGCATAAAATGCCTACTAATTCGGTCCAAATTTTAATTAATTCAAAATTTTTTTGTGACCGAACGAAAGGATATGTTTGAAAACTTTCTTCGGCAATATTGTTCTAAATTATGACAGGAATCGATTGGTACATGTTTCAAGTCGCTAAGTGGTCTGGTTGCCGAGATATGGGCCAAAAACTGCTTTTTTCCGAGGTTTTTTGGCTTTTCCGGGAAATCCATGAAAGAAACCCGGAATTTTTATGGCCTATGTTCATTCTCGTAACTTGCTTAACATAATTGCTTTTGGAACTAGTCATCGATATTGCTTCGTTGAGGAGGAGATACGACTTAAAGCTGCGGACACACATCCATCCATCCATCCATCCATCCATCCATTCATTCATACATTCATACATCCAGAAATGACGGGTTAATAAACGCTATTCTCCAGAATGGAAATTGCGCTAAAAACCACATAAATATCATCGAACAGCCGGGTTTTTAACGGAATCATTGAAGTCCCTTGATCAGTATGTGCATGGTGTTGTGTTGACTAACAATGTATATAATTTGGGTTTTCTAATAAGTATTGGTTGCCTTTGTTATTTTAAATGTGTCCGATTTTTAACTATTTAGTTATCTCTTTGCTTTGTCACTAATATCTCATCACGTTTTGACCAATAACTATTTAATAAGTTATTTTTTTCCAAATACATATAACATTAAAAATATATAAGCCTATAATTCACGTGTAACGGGTTCCGACGGCTACTAGGCCTATATGAATATTCGAGAAAGTTTAGGGGAGATCACTATAGTTTTATTTGTCAAGTTTTTATTGACCCGACGATCGTTCATGTTTTTTGTCAAGTTTTAGGTCATTGTTTATTAACTACGGTAGATATTAATAATTGCTGCCCCACAAATCCTAAGACTGGTAAAACAGCAGTTACATTTATAGATAAGATGATATTTGTGTAAGAAATCCAAATCGCTATTTCAGCATCACCCAATTCTGGTCTAAACTATTTTTGTTGTTAAATAAACATGTACGACTATCGTGTTTAGGTCGGTGTAATAAACACAATGGATGTAAACAGACAAAATAGTTTAGAAATAAAGGTCAATGATCACGTGCTGTCAACTTGTAGAATCACGTAACCAAATAATTAATCAACAAAATGACCCAATAATTATAAGCGAAAATGACCAGAGACCGAATGAACAAAAGCTGCCCTCGGCCCGCGCTCCCCCAGACGTCCCCCCCCCCACGCAGGTTATCGAGGGCAGCCCGTCAGGTGAAGAGACCCACCTTAGCCAGAGTACAGCAAGTGGGGACCCCAGCCACAGCTAGTGGGGACCCCAGCAACAGCAAGTGGGGACCCCAGCCACAGCTAGTGGGGACCCCAGCCACAGCTAGTGGGGACCCCAGCCACAGCAAGTGGGGACCCCAGCCACAGCTAGTGGGGACCCCAGCCACAGCTAGTGGGGACCCCAGCCACAGCTAGTGGGGACCCCAGCCACAGCCACAGCTAGTGGGGACCCCAGCCACAGCCACAGCTAGTGGGGACCCCAGACCCCAGCCACAGCTAGTGGGGACCCCAGCCACAGCTAGTGGGGACCCCAGCCACAGCAAGTTGGGGACCCATGACCCCAGCCACAGCTAGTGGGGACCCCAGCCACAGCTAGTGGGGAACCCAGCCACAGCAAGTGGGGACCCCAGCCACAGCAAGTGGGGACCCCAGACCCCAGCCACAGCTAGTGGGGACCCCAGCAACAGCTAGTGGGGACCCCAGCCACAGCCACAGCTAGTGGGGACCCCAGCCACAGCTAGTGGGGATCCCAGCCACAGCTAGTGGGGACCCCAGCCACAGCTAGTGGGGACCCCAGCCACAGCCACAGCTAGTGGGGACCCCAGCCACAGCCACAGCTAGTGGGGACCCCAGACCCCAGCCACAGCTAGTGGGGACCCCAGCCACAGCAAGTGGGGACCCCAGCCACAGCCACAGCTAGTGGGGACCCCAGACCCCAGCCACAGCTAGTGGGGACCCCAGCCACAGCAAGTGGGGACCCCAGCCACAGCCGCAGCTAGTGGGGACCCCAGACCCCAGCCACAGCTAGTGGGGACCCCAGACCCCAGCCACAGCTAGTGGGGACCCCAGACCCCAGCCACAGCTATTGGGGACCCCAGCCACAGCAAGTGGGGACCCCAGCCACAACCACAGCTAGTGGGGACCCCAGACCCCAGCCACAGCTAGTGGGGACCCCAGACCCCAGCCACAGCTAGTGGGGACCCGAGCCACAGCAAGTGGGGACCCCAGCCACAGCCACAGCTAGTGGGGACCCCAGACCCCAGCCACAGCTAGTGGGGACCCCAGACCCCAGCCACAGCTAGTGGGGACCCCAGACCCCAGCCACAGCAAGTGGGGACCCCAGCCACAGCCACAGCTAGTGGGGAACCCAGCCACAGCAAGTGGGGACCCCAGCCACAGCTAGTGGGGACCCCAGCCACAGCTAGTGGGGACCCCAGACCCCAGCCACAGCAAGTGGGGACCCCAGCCACAGCAAGTGGGGACCCCAGCCACAGCTAGTGGGGACCCCAGCCACAGCTAGTGGGGACCCCAGCCACAGCTAGTGGGGGACCCCAGCCACAGCTAGTGGGGACCCCAGCCACAGCTAGTGGGGACCCCAGCCACAGCTAGTGGGGACCCCAGCCACAGCTAGTGGGGACCCCAGACCCCAGCCACAGCAAGTGGGGACCCCAGCCACAGCTAGTGGGGACCCCAGCCACAGCTAGTGGGGACCCCAGACCCCAGCCACAGCAAGTGGGGACCCCAGCCACAGCAAGTGGGGACCCCAGCCACAGCAAGTGGGGACCCCAGCCACAGCTAGTGGGGACCCCAGACCCCAGCCACAGCTATTGGGGACCCCAGCCACAGCTAGTGGGGACCCCAGACCCCAGCCACAGCTATTGGGGACCCCAGCCACAGCTAGTGGGGACCCCAGACCCCAGCCACAGCTAGTGGGGACCCCAGACCCCAGCCACAGCAAGTGGGGACCCCAGCCACAGCAAGTGGGGACCCCAGACCCCAGCCACAGCTAGTGGGGACCCCAGCCACAGCAAGTGGGGACCCCAGACCCCAGCCACAGGTAGTGGGGACCCCATCCAAGCTAGTGGGGACCCCAGCCACAGCTAGTAGGGACCCCAGACCCCAGCCACAGCTAGTGGGGACCCCAGACCCCAGCCACAGCTATTGGGGACCCCAGCCACAGCTATTGGGGACCCCAGCCACAGCAAGTGGGGACCCCAGCCACAGCTAGTGGGGACCCCAGACCCCAGCCACAGCTAGTGGGGACCCCAGACCCCAGCCACAGCTAGTGGGGACCCCAGACCCCAGCCAAGCAAGTGGGGACCCCAGACCCCAGCCACAGCTAGTGGGGACCCCAGACCCCAGCCACAGCTAGTGGGGACCCCAGACCCCAGCCAAGCAAGTGGGGACCCCAGACCCCAGCCAAGCAAGTGGGGACCCCAGCCACAGCTATTGGGGACCCCAGCCACAGCAAGTGGGGACCCCAGCCACAGTTAGTGGGGACCCCAGACCCCAGCCACAGCTATTGGGGACCCCAGCCACAGCAAGTGGGGACCCCAGCCAAGCAAGTGGGGACCCCAGCCACAGCTAGTGGGGACCCCAGACCCCAGCCACAGCTAGTGGGGACCCCAGCCACATTTCATCACATACAATAGCTTTGGAACACACACACACACACACACACACACACACAAAATATATATATATATATATATATATATATATATATATATATATATATATATATATATATATATATATACATACATGATGTTAAATGTAGGTTATGCTTCCTTTCTGACTGTCTAGACCGTCATGTGGGAAGGGGAGCGTCTGCTTATTAAAATGCTAAGAAAACTGATCAGAAGGACGCGAGCCATCGATTGAAGCCGTCTACACGGGGTTATGAAACGACAACAGAAAGCCAATTACGAACATGAGACCCGTTGTTCCCCTGTTCATGTCGTCTAACCTAGATAACAAGGCTCTTGTTTTCACTTGGGGACCAACACAACCACAACCACAACACAACCAGATCACAACCACAACTTTAACTACACAATAGCTGTCTATTAGGGTGGGGATGAGAGGGGGGGGGTGAAATATGAGTGTCGCAGAGAAAATAACGGCCGAACATCAGGTCGCTCGTCTACCTGAGTTATTCAACCTCATACCGTAGTCCTCATCAGCAGCCTGGGTCCTCTCTGTCATCTGTATCGTATCTGTCATCTGTGTCGTATCTGTCATCTGTATCGTATCTGTCATCTGTGTCGTATCTGTGGTATATCTTTTATCTGTCATCTGTGTCGTATCTGTGGTATATCTTTTATCTGTCATCTGTGTCGTATCTGTGGTATATCTTGTATCTGTCATCTGTTTCGTATCTGTGATATATCTTGTATCTGTCATCTGTATCGTATCTGTCATCTGTGTCGTATCTGTGGTATATCTTTTATCTGTCATCTGTGTCGTATCTGTGGTATATCTTTTATCTGTCATCTGTGTCGTATCTGTGGTATATCTTGTATCTGTCATCTGTTTCGTATCTGTGATATATCTTGTATCTGTCATCTGAGTCGTATCTGTCATGGTGTCGTGAATGTCACCTGTGTTGAATCTATCTTGACCTTAAGTCTCGCCAAACGCGACATTACAATTTAGGCCGACATAATAGACAATACAACCCTCCCCATCATCTTCACGTCATCCATAGGGCGCCCAGCTACACACCATTCATAGGGCGCCCAGCTTCACACCATCCATAGGGCGCCCAGCTTCACACCCTTCACACCATCCATAGGGCGCCCAGCATCACATCATCCATACGGCGCCCAGCTTCACACCATCCATAGGGCGCCCAGCTTCAAATCATCCATAGGGCGCCCAGCTTCAAATCATCCATAGGGCGCATAGCTTCACATCATCCATTGTGCGCCAGCTTCACACTATCCATAGGGCGCCCAGCTTCACACCATCCATAGGGCGCCCAGCTTCACAAAATTCACACCATCCATAGGGCGCCCAGCTTCACATCATCCATAGGGCGCATAGCTTCACATCATCCATAGGGCGCCCAGCTTCACACCATCCATAGAGCGCCCAGCTTCACATCATCCATAGGGCGCCCAGTTTCACACCATCCATAGAGCGCCCAGCTTCACATCATCCATAGGACGCCCAGCTTCACATCATCCATAGGGCGCATAGCTTCACATCATCCATAGGGCGCCCAGTTTCACACCATCCATAGAGCGCCCAGCTTCACATCATCCATAGGGCGCCCAGCTTCACATCATCCATAGGGCGCCCAGCTTCACATCATCCATAGGGCGCCCAGCTTCACATCATCCATAGGGCGCCCAGCTTCACATCATCCATAGGGCGCCCAGCTTCACACCATCCATAGGGCGCCCAGCTTCAAATCATCCATAGGGCGCCCAGCTTCAAATCATCCATAGGGCGCATAGCTTCACATCATCCATTGTGCGCCAGCTTCACACTATCCATAGGGCGCCCAGCTTCACACCATCCATAGGGCGCCCAGCTTCACAAAATTCACACCATCCATAGGGCGCCCAGCTTCACATCATCCATAGGGCGCATAGCTTCACATCATCCATAGGGCGCCCAGCTTCACACCATCCATAGAGCGCCCAGCTTCACACCATCCATAGGGCGCCCAGTTTCACACCATCCATAGAGCGCCCAGCTTCACATCATCCATAGGGCGCCCAGCTTCACACCCTTCACACCATCCATAGGGCGCATAGCTTCACATCATCCATAGGGCGCCCAGCTTCACACCATCCATAGAGCGCCCAGCTTCACACTATCCATAGGGCGCCCAGCTTCACACCCTTCACACCATCCATAGGGCGCATAGCTTCACATCATCTATAGGGCGCCTAGCTTCACACCATCCATAGGGCGCCCAGCTTCACATCATCCATAGGGCGCATAGCTTCACATCATCCATAGGGCGCCCAGCTTCACACCATCCATAGAGCACCCAGCTTCACATCATCCATAGGGCGCCCAGTTTCACACCATCCATAGAGCGCCCAGCTTCACATCATCCATAGGACGCCCAGCTTCACATCATCCATAGGGCGCATAGCTTCACATCATCCATAGGGCGCCCAGTTTCACACCATCCATAGAGCGCCCAGCTTCACATCATCCATAGGGCGCCCAGCTTCACATCATCCATAGGGCGCCCAGCTTCACATCATCCATAGGGCGCCCAGCTTCACATCATCCATAGGGCGCCCAGCTTCACATCATCCATAGGGCGCCCAGCTTCACATCATCCATAGGGCGCCCAGCTTCACATCATCCATAGGGCGCCCAGCTTCACATCATCCATAGGGCGCCCAGCTTCACACCCTTCACACCATCCATAGGGCGCATAGCTTCACATCATCCATAGGGCGCCTAGCTTCACACCATCCATAGGGCGCCTAGCTTCACACCATCCATAGGGCGCCCAGCTTCACATCATCCATAGGGCGCATAGCTTCACATCATCCATAGGGCGCCCAGCTTCACATCATCCATAGGGCGCCCAGTTTCACACCATCCATAGAGCGCCCAGCTTCACATCATCCATAGGGCGCATAGCTTCACATCATCCATAGGGCGCCCAGCTTCACATCATCCATAGGGCGTAGTGGTGATCAGGTGATATGCTGGTGGTAGTGGTGATCAGGTGATATGCTGGTGGTAGTGGTCAGGTGATCTGTTGGTGGTAGTGGTGGTCAGGTGATCTGTTGGTGGTAGTGGTGGTCAGGTGATCTGTTGGTGGTAGTGGTGGTCAGGTGATATGTTGGTGGTAGTGGTGGTCAGGTGATCTGTTGGTGGTTGTGGTGGTCAGGTGATATGTTGGTGGTAGTGGTCAGGTGATCTGTTGGTGGTAGTGGTCAGGTGATCTGTTGGTGGTAGTGGTGGTCAGGTGATCTGTTGGTGGTAGTGGTGGTCAGGTGATCTGTTGGTGGTAGTGGTGGTCAGGTGATATGTTGGTGGTAGTGGTGGTCAGGTGATCTGTTGGTGGTTGTGGTGGTCAGGTGATATGTTGGTGGTAGTGGTGGTCAGGTGATCTGTGACGTCATACTGACTAGCAGCGTATGGTTTAACTGTTTACAACGATTGTCACAGCTAAAGAAACAGTAGCACAATTGGTAAACTTTCAAACGCACCCCGTGGTTTGATTTAAACTATAATAGGTTGAGTATGCTTGCTTTTGTTAGTATATTGCTTTGAAAAGATTGCCATTGTAAAGTTTGTATGTGTTTTTTTTTCTCCCGTAACCCTAAAGCCCCACAGCATGATTTCGTTAGAAGTTAAGTTGGTTTGAAATAAGACATAGATATAAGCATCTTTTACAATTTAGCTTTTATTCAAGAAAGCAAGTTTGTTATATTTATTTAATTTGCAACACCTTTCAAAGCTTTTTATATTTGTATAATTTTTAAAAATGTTTAGTAATTCGTTGTAAACGAAGGCCGTGGCCACTGTTCATTTAAGGTGCTCTGTCGCGGCCGCGCAATAGTTGTAAGCCTGCCGCGCAGTCATTTTATAAATCACGGACATCCTTGTGTAAGTACTTCAGAGTACCGCGCACACAAAGCCGACTGGATAATTAGTCCAGGCTCGACTCTCCTGCAATAATTCAACCAGTTGACCGTCACGTGATCGCATTGGTTAGCTGGTCACGTGATGGCATTGGTTAGCTGGTCACGTGATCGCATTGGTTATCTGGTCACGTGATGACATTGGTTAGCTGGTCACGTGATGGCATTGGTTAGCTGGTCACGTGATGGCACTGGTTAGCTGGTGACGTGATGGCATTGGTTAGCTGGTCACGTGATGACATTGGTTAGCTGGTCACGTGATGGCACTGGTTAGCTGGTCACGTGATGGCATTGGTTAGCTGGTCACGTGATCGCATACTGACAGACGTCAGTGTGACATATTTCAACCCCCCCCCCACCTCCCCACTCTGAACCCTACAATACCCCCCCCCCCACACCTCCCCACTCTGAACCCTACACTAGTCACCTGTATTGTATGTGTCTGAGACGTGGATGCCATTTGTGTTCGATGTAATGTCACTCGGTGAAAAAAAAATTACATCGACAATTTAAATATCTTCCTTATTATTTTATAAGTAACAATTTTAATAGGGCTACCTTATTTCTCTCAACAGTTCAGATATTTTATATTGACTTGGTATATTTGTTAAAACTAAAATCTGTTCAAATCGCATTTGTATATTTGTTAAAACTAAACTATGTTCAAATCGCTTTTGTATATTTGTTGAAATTAAAATGTGTTCAAATCGCCTTTGTATAGTAGTTAAAACTAAAATATGTTCAAATCACTCGTATATTTGTTAAAATTAAAATCTCCAAAAATCGTCTTTGTAAATTTGTTAAATCTAAACTAATATTCTTTCAAATCGTCTTTCTATGCATGTACTTGCTAAAATAAAATTAATGTCTGTGTCAATAACAAAATACTCATAATCAAAGAAATGATCTGAGCTCTATTAGCCCGTTCTAGTATGTGTAAACTAAGGAAAACGTGGTTTATTTTATAACATTCGAATATAAAGAATATAACTAATTGTAACGACGACATAATTAATGGACCAACGGCTAATAGCGAGGTTCGGATTTGTTCATCAGTTCCAATCAAAGCTACATTTGATTTGCCGTCTTCTAACACGCACTGCTACATTTGATTTGCCGTCTTCTAACACGCACTGCTACATTTGATTTGCCGTCTTCTAACACGCACTGCTACATTTGATTTGCCGTCTTCTAACACGCACTGCTACATTTGATTTGCCGTCTTCTAACACGCACTGCTACATTTGATTTGCCGTCTTCTAACACGCACTGCTACATTGGATTTGCCGTCTTCTAACACGCACTGCTACATTTGATTAGCCGCCTTCTAATACGCACTGCTACATTTGATTTGCCGTCTTCTAACACGCACTGCTACATTTGATTTGCCGTCTTCTAACACGCACTGCTACATTGGATTTGCCGTCTTCTAACACGCACTGCTACATTTGATTTGCCGTCTTCTAACACGCACTGCTACATTTGATTTGCCGTCTTCTAACACGCACTGCTACATTTGATTTGCCGTCTTCTAACAAGCACTGCTACATTGGATTTGCCGTCTTCTAACACGCACTGCTACATTTGATTTGCCGTCTTCTAACACGCACTGCTACATTTGATTTGCCGTCTTCTAACACGCACTGCTACATTTGATTTGCCGTCTTCTAACACGCACTGCTACATTTGATTTGCCGTCTTCTAACACGCACTGCTACATTTGATTTGCCGTCTTCTAACAAGCACTGCTACATTGGATTTGCCGTCTTCTAACACGCACTGCTACATTTGATTTGCCGTCTTCTAACACGCACTGCTACATTTGATTTGCCGTCTTCTAACACGCACTGCTACATTTGATTTGCCGTCTTCTAACACGCACTGCTACATTTGATTTGCCGTCTTCTAACACGCACTGCTACATTTGATTTGCCGTCTTCTAACACGCACTGCTACATTGGATTTGCCGTCTTCTAACACGCACTGCTACATTTGATTTGCCGTCTTCTAACACGCACTGCTACATTTGATTTGCCGTCTTCTAACACGCACTGCTACATTTGATTTGCCGTCTTCTAACAAGCACTGCTACATTGGATTTGCCGTCTTCTAACACGCACTGCTACATTTGATTTGCCGTCTTCTAACACGCACTGCTACATTTGATTTGCCGTCTTCTAACACGCACTGCTACATTTGATTTGCCGTCTTCTAACACGCACTGCTACATTTGATTTGCCGTCTTCTAACACGCACTGCTACATTTGATTTGCCGTCTTCTAACAAGCACTGCTACATTGGATTTGCCGTCTTCTAACACGCACTGCTACATTTGATTTGCCGTCTTCTAACACGCACTGCTACATTTGATTTGCCGTCTTCTAACACGCACTGCTACATTTGATTTGCCGTCTTCTAACACGCACTGCTACATTTGATTTGCCGTCTTCTAACACGCACTGCTACATTTGATTTGCCGTCTTCTAACACGCACTGCTACATTTGATTTGCCGTCTTCTAACACGCACTGCTACATTTGATTTGCCGTCTTCTAACACGCACTGCTACATTTGATTTGCCGTCTTCTAACATGTACTAGCCTCCCAGGAACGCAGGCATATTTTATTTCATGCTAGAACTGGTCAATACTTTACCTATCTTTTCATTTACATCTAGTTTGATGTCTTATTGTTTTCATTCTGCGTTAAATGGCTTTTCAAATGTTTCAAATATCAAAGAAATACTATTGAGAATCTGATCATTTTAGAACAATGACGATGTTTTAAAAATTAAATGATTTTAAATGAATATAAATTAATTCAAAGTACAATTAATTAATGTAGATTATTTTAAATAGAATGTATTAAAGTGTGACATTTTGAATAGCATGAATAAATTATGCTAGTGTTTTATTCCAATAAATAATAATTGTTTTTTTTCTTATATTTTTTATATCATTACTAATATTTTAAAATTACAAGTATTTTTGAAAATACTTCCTAAAACTACCATCACGAATTAACTATTGTTAAACACACGGTTAAATACGAACATATAGTTTAACACATGTTTATTGCTAATACTAAGCTAAAGGCATGTTTAATTGTAATACTAAATTAAACACATATTTAATGCTAATACTAAATTAAACACATGTTTCATGCCAACACTAAGTTCAACGCTAACTTACCTATGTACGAGCGTGACTAAAGTTACGACGCCAGTCGGCTACCGGTTTCATCTCCATTATCCGATTGAAATTTTAGGACTTCATTTTTTCACCATTTTGTGAAGCCACACAACACTTCGGATTTCACTTTCTAACTTCAAGATTTGCTCAACACAAACTTCTAAGCTGACTAATTTCAAATTTGATTCTGTTTTTTTATCCCTCACATTTGCCGTGGTATCTAATTATTGGTTAACACGCGACCAAAACACAATTAAAAAAAAACTAATTAACACACGTAAAACATGTTCTGTTAATTATTGTGGTGCGCACTAAAACATCAGCATTGAGCAAGACACGCGTGCACGTGAGTTTAACGGTTCTAATCACGAGCAGCCACTCACCAGGTTAAGATAGAACTGGCGTTAGGATTAGCTGGGCCGGTGGTTGACAAACTTTCCTACCGCCCCAGGCGCTCGCCTATTGGCTGGCACCTTAAGACCTGCCGTGTGGGGGGAGGGTCACGATTGACAGGCCTTCAGTCAACCGGCATTTGTCTGCCGGCTTCTCTAGGCCGGCTTCTCTAGACCGGCTCGCCACTTCCCTATGTTTTATAACCAGATAAAAATATATTTGTGTAGGTTTTTTCCCTTCAGATCAAACTTTCTGACTCATTGATTACTATCATCTCGCAAGGCCGTTCTTTTATCCCAGTTCGCAATAAGGTCGAAATAAAAGAAGGTAAAAGGAGGCATTTATTGCCTCTTACAAGTCAACGCCAGAATTTCTTGGGTTCCGTTAATGCGTTTAACAAGTTCAGTGCCGACAGACGCACACCGCCAGAGAAGTCTGCTATTCTGCCAATGACTCTAAAGAAGTCTGCTATTCTGCCACAGACTCTAAAGAAGTCTGCTATTCTGCCACAGACTCTAGAGAAGTCTGCTATTCTCCATAGACTCTAGAGAAGTCTGCTATTCTGCCACAGACTCTAGAGAAGTCTGCTATTCTGCCACAGACTCTAGAGAAGTCTGCTATTCTGCCACAGACTCTAAAGAAGTCTGCTATTCTGCCACAGACTCTAAAGAAGTCTGCTATTCTGCCACAGACTCTAGAGAAGTCTGCTATTCTCCATAGACTCTAGAGAAGTCTGCTATTCTGCCACAGACTATTCTGCCAGAGACCTTAGACGCACATATATTCTATAATCACAAACTAATTAGAATTATCGAGAAATCCAATTATTAGCATTCACTTTTTTTTTAGGTTTTTCTAAATGAGATGAAATAAAATAATCAAACTTAGGATCAGTACTTCAATTTTTTTCGAATTCCTTAAAAAAAAAACAAGTATACACTTGAACAATACACAACTTTTAGGAGGTTTGCCAGAGGTTTGGTAGCAAGGGGTAGGGGCTACTACAAATCTTTTTTTAAAAAAAAAAGACTTGAGTAAACTGTGAAACTATTGGAATTATTTGTGTGAATGTGTGTGTGTGTGTGGGGGGGGGGGGGGGTGCGAGGCTAGAAAGGTGAAGGGGTGTGCCTGGTTAACGCGTCAATGATTGGAGCGGCAGATCGCGTGTCAACATCTCACACGACCAGGCAAATGTTGACAGTACTTGTGGTCAGCGGTCGATAGCTCCGCACTCCCTAACCAGCGTCCACCACCACCACCACCACCACCACCACCACCACCACCACCACAGGTACAGCCGGCTGCTGTACTAGAGATGTCTTCAAATAGAACAGACCGTTTCTTCTGGCCAGCCTCTAGTGTCGCGTCGTGTCGACAGCTATTGGTATGCATGTAGACACGGTGTAAGTTATCAAAATTGCTTTCTACTCGGCCGCCATCTTTGGCTGGATCAAGGACCAGCACGACAACGACGGGAGCCACTTGAGCGCTACAACAGCAGCCGAGAGCGTTTGTAGGGCCGGCGGGTCGGTGTGTGCATACACGCATGCCGTCCACTCGCCACAGCCCCGTTAACCAGCCACCACTTGCCGCGCGCTAATTAAAGACAAACTAAAGGCCTAACTCACACCTTGAAGGGTCACCTCAATGGCACAAGTAGATGCAGTAGAGTTGACCCGACTGAGCCAGTGACAACCAGAACGATGCTTCAAGGGGTCAAAGTTCACTTTTTAAACTTAAAACAAATAAAGTCAACGAGTGCAATACAACTAAAAGTGTGGTTGACGTCATGACGTAGCTGCCCGGTGACTAAGACGCCATGACGTAGCTGCCCCGTGACTAAGACGCCATGACGTAGCTGCCCCGTGACTAAGACGTCATGACGTAGCTGCCCGGTGACTAAGACGTCATGACTTAGCTGCACGGTGACTAAGACGTCATGACGTAGCTGCACGGTGACTAAGACGTCATGACGTAGCTGCACGGTGACTAAGACGTCATGACGTAGCTGCCCCGTGACTAAGACGTCATGACGTAGCTGCCCCGTGACTAAGACGTCATGACTTAGCTGCCCGGTGACTAAGACGTCACACAGCACCAATCAACACCCTGTTTACAGCTGAAGGTGTGGGTGTGTATAGCTCTTGATGTAAGCACGACGTAAGCGTAGACTCATTTCAAAGCTGACTCACACAACTGACGCATGACGCCAAGCGCTAGGATGGATGTTTGTCTGGTCATTTTATCCTTCAATTCTTGGAACATTGACGGCCATTTCATGCCTTTATCTTCAACTAGCACACACATAGTTTTGTGCTAGACATTCTCTCCCCCTCCTACACGACTTCACCGTTTAATCAAGAAATAAAACCCCTTTATACAACTTGTAATAACTTGATCAATTTCGACCGCTCACAAAGGGGAATAACCAAGGTTATAACACAAAGAAAGAAGAAATCAGGGGAGGCTACTCTATTTCTTCTCGCCCTTTAAAAATGGTCTCACAGTGGTGTGAACGATCCGATCTTGAACCTGGATTTTGTGACCATTTTGTGACCATTTTGTGACCATTTTGTGACCGTTTCTTTCATCATAATAAGGTCATTTACCGCGCACCCCGCGTTTACGGCCTGCTACGTCATCGGTTGATTGTCCTCGGCTCCAGCTTTACGGCAGTAGAAAGAGGCCAGTCCGTGCCCCATAAAGTGGCCAGTCCGTGCCCCATAAAGTGGCCAGTTCGTGCCCCATAAAGTGGCCAGTCCGTGCTCAGTAAAGTGGCCAGTCCGTGCCCCATAAAGTGGCCAGTCCGTGTGGCCAGTTCGTGCCCCATAAAGAGGCCAGTCCGTGCTCAGTAAAGTGGCCAGTCCATGCCCCATAAAGTGGCCAGTCCGTGTGGCCAGCCCGTGCCCCATAAAGTGGCCAGTCCGTGCTCAGTAAAGTGGCCAGTCCGTGCCCCATAAAGTGGCCAGTCCGTGCCCCATAAAGTGGCCAGTCCGTGCCCCGTAAAGTGGCCAGTCCGTGCCCCATAAAGTGGCCAGTCCGTGCCCCGTAAAGTGGCCAGTCCGTGCCCCATAAAGTGGCCAGTCCGTGCCCCGTAAAGTGGCCAGTCCGTGCCCCATAAAGTGGCCAGTCCGTGCCCCATAAAGTGGCCAGTCCGTGCCCCATAAAGTGGCCAGTCCGTGCCCCGTAAAGTGGCCAGTCCGTGCCCCATAAAGTGGCCAGTCCGTGCCCCGTAAAGTGGCCAGTCCGTGCCCCATAAAGTGGCCAGTCCGTGCCCCGTAAAGTGGCCAGTCCGTGCCCCATAAAGTGGCCAGTCCGTGCCCCATAAAGTGGCCAGTCCGTGCCCCATAAAGTGGCCAGTTCGTGCCCCATAAAGTGGCCAGTCCGTGCTCAGTAAAGTGGCCAGTCCGTGCCCCATAAAGTGGCCAGTCCGTGCCCCATAAAGTGGCCAGTCCGTGCCCCGTAAAGTGGCCAGTCCGTGCCCCATAAAGTGGCCAGTCCGTGCCCCGTAAAGTGGCCAGTCCGTGCCCCGTAAAGTGGCCAGTCCGTGCCCCATAAAGTGGCCAGTCCGTGCCCCGTAAAGTGGCCAGTCCGTGCCCCATAAAGTGGCCAGTCCGTGCCCCATAAAGTGGCCAGTCCGTGCCCCATAAAGTGGCCAGTTCGTGCCCCATAAAGAGGCCAGTCCGTGCTCAGTAAAGTGGCCAGTCCGTGCCCCATAAAGTGGCCAGTCCGTGTGGCCAGCCCGTGCCCCATAAAGTGGCCAGTCCGTGCTCAGTAAAGTGGCCAGTCCGTGCCCCATAAAGTGGCCAGTCCGTGCCCCATAAAGTGGCCAGTCCGTGCCCCGTAAAGTGGCCAGTCCGTGCCCCATAAAGTGGCCAGTCCGTGCCCCGTAAAGTGGCCAGTCCGTGCCCCATAAAGTGGCCAGTCTGTGCCCCGTAAAGTGGCCAGTCCGTGCCCCATAAAGTGGCCAGTCCGTGCCCCATAAAGTGGCCAGTCCGTGCCCCATAAAGTGGCCAGTTCGTGCCCCATAAAGTGGCCAGTCCGTGCTCAGTAAAGTGGCCAGTCCGTGCCCCATAAAGTGGCCAGTCCGTGTGGCCAGCCCGTGCCCCATAAAGTGGCCAGTCCGTGCTCAGTAAAGTGGCCAGTCCGTGCCCCATAAAGTGGCCAGTCCGTGCCCCATAAAGTGGCCAGTCCGTGCCCCGTAAAGTGGCCAGTCCGTGCCCCATAAAGTGGCCAGTCCGTGCCCCGTAAAGTGGCCAGTCCGTGCCCCATAAAGTGGCCAGTCCGTGCCCCGTAAAGTGGCCAGTCCGTGCCCCATAAAGTGGCCAGTCCGTGCCCCATAAAGTGGCCAGTCCGTGCCCCATAAAGTGGCCAGTTCGTGCCCCATAAAGTGGCCAGTCCGTGCTCAGTAAAGTGGCCAGTCCGTGCCCCATAAAGTGGCCAGTCCGTGTGGCCAGCCCGTGCCCCATAAAGTGGCCAGTCCGTGCTCAGTAAAGTGGCCAGTCCGTGCCCCATATAGTGGCCAGTCCGTGCCCCATAAAGTGGCCAGTCCGTGCCCCGTAAAGTGGCCAGTCCGTGCCCCATAAAGTGGCCAGTCCGTGCCCCGTAAAGTGGCCAGTCCGTGCCCCATAAAGTGGCCTGTCTGTGCCCCGTAAAGTGGCCAGTCCGTGCCCCATAAAGTGGCCAGTCCGTGCCCCATAAAGTGGCCAGTCCGTGCCCCATAAAGTGGCCAGTCCGTGCCCCGTAAAGTGGCCAGTCCGTGCCCCGTAAAGTGGCCAGTCCGTGCCCCGTAAAGTGGCCAGTCCGTGCCCCGTAAAGTGGCCAGTCCGTGCCCCGTAAAGTGGCCAGTCCGTGCCCCGTAAAGTGGCCAGTCCGTGCCCAATCAATTGACCTTTAACGTCGGTGATTGGCTAAACATGCAAAGAGATTTTCTATTGGTTGGCGTCTTGCATGACAGGAAAGGGTGGAGTTAGGTGGGCGGGATAAGTTGTTAGGTGGGCGGGATAAGTGGATCAGGTAGGCGGTGAAAGTGGATTAGGTGGGCGGGCTTTTTGGATTAAGTGGGTAGGTTTTTCATTTAGATAGGTGGGTTTGGTTGGTCATTTTGGTACAATAAAAGCAAAGTCTCATGCGTTTTTTTCAATCATCAGAAGAGATCAATAGTTTCTTCCAGGCATCCCTTCGGGAGGATGGGGTGGGGGGGGGGGGGGGGCTCCCCGAAAAAAAGTCAAAAAGTCTCCCCCCCCCCCGAACGGAATGTAATTTAGAAAACGCATACTTTTTCCAGTGTCCGCCCAAAATATGTGAATACAAGCCGATTCAAGATTACGGCATGTTTAGCTATAATCACGAGTTAATCCATTAATCCATGTTCTGCTATAATCACGAGTTAATCCATTAATCCATGTTCTGCTATAATCACGAGTTAATCCATATTTTGCTATAATCACGAGTTAATCCATGTTCTGCTATAATCACGAGTTAATCCATATTTTGCTATAATCACGAGTTAATCCATGTTCTGCTATAATCACGAGTTAATCCATGTTCTGCTATAATCACGAGTTAATCCATGTTCTGCTATAATCACGAGTTAATCCATATTTTGCTATAATCACGAGTTAATCCATTAATCCATGTTCTGCTATAATCACGAATTAATCCATGTTCTGCTATTTTTAAAAATAATCCTTTTGTTACAAAGTGCAACATTCTTGTAATCTATACCGGGACATACATACATACGTGAATATATTGTATCTCCATAATCTTACTGCCACTCAGGTAAATTATGTGGGTTATTATCTTATTAGTATCAAACTAGTATCTTATTAGCCATTAGTTATCTTACTAGTATCAAATTATTATCTCATGATATCGAATTATTTTCTAATTTTCAAATCATGAGAATATGTATTTATTATCTAAAAAAGAAAAGTTTGGTTCAAATTAGACTTCTAAAACACTTGAACTATTGGACAACGATCATCTTTTCTGATAACAAGTGTTGTCAAAATGTAATGATGTCTCCTTAGTCTACTTTAAAAGTTGTCTTTAATAACGACATAACATGAACTCCTAGCTGTAAGGCTAAGGCTGGGTCACAATGTAAGGCTAAGGCTGGGTCACAATTTAAGGCTAAGGCTGGGTCACAATGTAAGGCTGGGTCACAATGTAAGGCTGGGTCACAATTTAAGGCTAAGGCTGGGTCACAGTTTAAGGCTAAGGCTGGGTCACAGTTTAAGGCTGGGTCACAATGTAAGGCTGGGTCACAATGTAAGGCTGGGTCACAATGTAAGGCTGGGTCACAATGTAAGACTAAGGCTGGGTCAAAGTTTAAGGCTAAGGCTGGGTCACAATGTAAGGCTGGGTCACAATGTAAGGCTGGGTCACAATGTAAGGCTGGGTCACAATGTAAGGCTGGGTCACAATGTAAGGCTGGGTCACAATGTAAGACTAAGGCTGGGTCACAGTTTAAGGCTAAGGCTGGGTCACAATGTAAGGCTAAGGCTGGGTCACAATGTAAGGCTAAGGCTGGGTCACAGTTTAAAGCTAAGGCTGGGTCACAATGTAAGGCTAAGGCTGGGTCACAGTTTAAGGCTAAGGCTGGGTCACAATGTAAGGCTGGGTCACAATGTAAGGCTGGGTCACAATGTAAGGCTGGGTCACAATGTAAGGCTGGGTCACAATGTAAGGCTGGGTCACAATGTAAGACTAAGGCTGGGTCACAGTTTAAGGCTAAGGCTGGGTCACAATGTAAGGCTAAGGCTGGGTCACAATGTAAGGCTAAGGCTGGGTCACAGTTTAAAGCTAAGGCTGGGTCACAATGTAAGGCTAAGGCTGGGTCACAGTTTAAGGCTAAGGCTGGGTCACAATGTAAGGCTAAGGCTGGGTCACAGTTTAAGGCTGGGTCACAGTTTAAGGCTAAGGCTGGGTCACAATGTAAGGCTGGGTCACAATGTAACGCTAAGGCTGGGTCACAATGTAAGGCTAAGGCTGGGTCACAATGTAACGCTAAGGCTGGGTCACAATGTAAGGCTAAGGCTGGGTCACAATGTAACGCTAAGGCTGGGTCACAATGTAAGGCTAAGGCTGGGTCACAATGTAACGCTAAGGCTGGGTCACAATGTAAGGCTAAGGCTGGGTCACAATGTAAGGCTAAGGCTGGGACACAATGTAAGGCTAAGGCTGGGTCACAGTTTAAGGCTAAGGCTGGGTCACAATGTAAGGCTGGGTCACAATGTAAGGCTGGGTCACAATGTAAGGCTGGGTCACAATGTAAGGCTGGGTCACAATGTAAGGCTGGGTCACAATGTAAGGCTGGGTCACAGTTTAAGGCTAAGGCTGGGTCACAATGTAAGGCTGAGGCTTTGTCACAATATAAGGCTGGGTCACAATGTAAGGCTGGGTCACAATGTAAGGCTGGGTCACAATGTAAGGCTAAGGCTGGGTCACAGTTTAAGGCTAAGGCTGGGTCACAATGTAAGGCTGGGTCACAATGTAAGGCTGGGTCACAATGTAAGGCTGGGTCACAATGTAAGGCTGGGTCACAGTTTAAGGCTAAGGCTGGGTCACAATGTAAGGCTGAGGCTGGGTCACAATGTAAGGCTGGGTCACAATGTAAGGCTGGGTCACAATGTAAGGCTAAGGCTGGGTCACAGTTTAAGGCTAAGGCTGGGTCACAATGTAAGGCTGGGTCACAATGTAAGGCTAAGGCTGGGTCACAGTTTAAGGCTAAGGCTGGGTCACAATGTAAGGCTGGATCATAACGTAAGGCTGGGTCACAATGTAAGGCTAAGGCTGGGTCCCAATGTAAGGCTAAGGCTGGGTCACAGTTTAAGGCTAAGGCTGGGTCACAATGTAAGGCTGAGGCTGGGTCACAATTTAAGGCTAAGGCTGGGTCACAATGTAAGGCTGGGTCACAGTTTAAGGCTAAGGCTGGGTCACAATGTAAGGCTGAGGCTGGGTCACAGTTTAAGGCTGGGTCACAATGTAAGGCTGGGTCACAGTTTAAGGCTAAGGCTGGGTCACAATGTAAGGCTGAGGCTGGGTCACAATGTAAGGCTGGGTCACAATGTAAGGCTGGGTCACAATGTAAGGCTAAGGCTGGGTCACAGTTTAAGGCTAAGGCTGGGTCACAATGTAAGGCTGGGTCACAATGTAAGGCTAAGGCTGGGTCACAGTTTAAGGCTAAGGCTGGGTCACAATGTAAGGCTGGATCATAACGTAAGGCTGGGTCACAATGTAAGGCTAAGGCTGGGTCCCAATGTAAGGCTGGGTCACAGTTTAAGGCTAAGGTTGCTATAAAAAACAAAGCATGAATTATGTTGGTGAAAATGAAATGCCGTTGATGGACTAACCTAACTTGGAAATACACGACACTGCCCCTACTAACGTAGATTTTGTTGATGGGTCCTACCATGTTTTACGTGAACTATTTAAATAATTTATTTCCAATTTTTACTTTTCGACGCTTAAAACATTCCAAAGTTCTAGTGTTTGTTGTAAAGAGGATGTGTTCTCGTTCTGCAGATAGAAGATAGAAAGAACGATTTTCTTAAATATCAACGATTGATTCCTTCATGCTACGCTTCATGCAATGTTGTCATTGTGTGTGTGTGTGTGTATGTGTGTGTGTGTGTGTGTGTGTGTGTTAGGTTGAAAAAAAATTCATAGAAAAGTGTTGTATCAAATGTATAATTTTCTATAAACTTTAAGCGATTTCCGGTAAACGGAAGTGGTACTCACCCCATTTCCGTTTTCTCAAAACACCGCTAAAATGAGTATCGTTACAGTAAAGTGAACCGAATTTCACACTAAATATTGATTGTGTGCAAAGGTTTCTGACAACTTCTTAACGATTTCCGGTAACCGGGAATGGTATTTCAATGGGAACACAATAACTTGAGTACCGTTTCAGTTAGGTAGGCGAAATTTCTTATTTGAGTAAACTATCTTATACTTAAATGTTTTTCAATTGTAGAATGACCTCTGATGTATGGATAAGGTAGGCCCTACTTTACCCCAGTTTCTAAAATACCGATGTCTTGCGTACCGTTTTAGTTTGGTGGGCGAAATTTAGTATACACGCTGACTTCCAATCAACTTTTACGGTTTCCGGTAACCCAAAGGGGTAATTTACTTCCGATTTCTCGAAAGCCTTCAGCCTTTGGTAATTTTTATATCATATACTCATAAAAACCTACCCTAATGACATTGTGTTTCTACAACGTATCGTACATCCCATACTCTTTTAGAGACTATGTAAGAAAGTTCAGGGGGGATCACTCCCGCTTAATTCTCATTAATAAATATCAGCACATGTTAACTTAATGCGCTACATGGTAATTCTTCAAGCCTTAATCAACCTTTTTTTTTTTTTTTTTTTTAAATGAATTATGTGTGAGAATTATGGTTATAAAAAAATATCGTTTATTTAAAGTGTAAGGGAATCGATGCGAATTAAAATAAAATCACCTTTACCCTGCAGGTAAAAATTCTCTGCTTTTCACGAATCCAGTGAGTGAAATATTTAACGGTACCTGGTTATTTGAAATACTTACATAGTCTACATAGAGCGTCAGCCAAGACTGTCGTTTTCCACACAGTGTACAGGGGGGCGGGCACATGACAAAAGGTGGGCGTGGCATGACCGCCCTGTCACTCCGTCTATGTGCCCGCTACTCTCCCTTACATTTGAGGAGAGTTATCGTTCCTGACTAAACATTCCAGGGTTGCCCCCCCCCCCTCTAGGCCTGGATCAAGCTTACATAATACTAAGGAAGCCGGCACCTGCTTATGGGAGCCGGCACCTGCTTATGGGAGCCGGCACCTGCTTATGGGAGCCGGCACCTGGTATGGGGAGCCGGTAGCTGCTTATGGGAGCCGGCACCTGCTTATGGGAGCCGGCATCAGCTTATGGGAGCCGGCACCTGCTTATGATAGCCGGTAGCTGCTTATGGGAGCCGGTAGCGAGCCTCTTAACGTGTTGTATTGGAGAACATTCGTGCATCGGATCCCTACAGGTTTTGGTGGTCGGGTTAACCTAGGGCAGGGGTCGGCAACCTGCGGCTCGCGAGCCGCATGCGGCTCTTATGATGTCAAGTTGCGGCTCTTTAGCTCCATGCACAAAAAATTATAATTATTTTATTTAATTTTTAAAACTCATTAAAATATTGTTCTGCAACACTCGGTAATGAACAATCTAATATATAAAGCTCAATTCTGTATGTAACACATATGTTTGTCGTGGATCTTCGATGGATTTAAGTGTTAGATAATTAAAGTCATTATGGTCTAAATTTATGAGTTAAAAATTTAATATTGAAAGTTTTGGGAAATAATTTTCATTTATCAAACTGAAAGTAATAATTTTCGGCATGTTCATTAAACACAAGTTTAAAAAAAAAATATCATCTTTTACGAAAATTCTAATTATGTCTTTATTTAGTCCTATACCACTTACTTCCCTTTGATAAATTAGGAAAACACAATTACTCACCTTTATAAAACCATTGCATTAGTGGAAAAGAATTTACTTTTTATTACTTTGTTTTGGTGTTGGGAAAAAAATAATTACATAATTAGCGGGGATTGATCAAGTTCAAATGTTGTAGGTATTTTACGGATAAGCTTGGAGTATTATAATTGTTCATTAAATAATTGAAACAGGCGCGTTCGTTTAAGTGAGTGCAAAAGACTATGAATAAGTTGGGGTACTATAGTCTTTTATTAAGCTAAAACAGGCGATTCCGCCCCGGGCTAGACTGTGATCACTTTGCGTTTATGTTCGCGTTAGTGTTTTCTTTGTGTTTAGGTTGGGTTTGCGTTAGTGGTTGCGGTTTGTTTTTGTTCGTTTTTGTTCTTTCTTTTTTCGTTTTTGTTTGTGTTTTTTTCTTTGGGTTTGTATTTGTGTTTTTGGTTGGTTTTGCGTTTGGATTTGGTTTGTTTTCGTTTGCTTTTTCGTTTTTTTTTGTGTTGTTATTGGTTGGTATTGGTGTTTGTGGTTGGGGTTGGGTTTGTTGTTAGGTTTTTGTTTTTGTTTGTTTTTTTGTTAGTTTTTTCTTTGTGTTTGTATTGGTGTTTGTGGTTGTGGTTGGGTTTGTTGTTAGGTTTTTGTTTTCGTTTGTATTTGTAATTGTGTTAGCGTTATGTTGGCGTTTTGTTGTTTTGGTTTTGGTTGGTTGTGGTTTGGGTGGGCAATGCCGGGTTTATGATGATTACTAAACACACAGGTAATGGTCTTTAACAGAAAGGTTTTTCACAGAAGCCAGAGCAGGGCCTGGCCGGGACGGCTAGTATAATAATAAACATAAACAAGTAACACTCACTATTCTATTAGACTATTTAGTTACTCATTATTTCAATGTACTTTCTATTAAATTGTTAATTCCGAATCAAAACATTCAACTTCATGAGGGTATCATAAAGAAACCAAACGAGCTAAATAAAAAAAATGAAAGGAAGGAAAAACCCAGCCTATGCCTTGCTTGAAGAAGTGGATTGTTTCGAAAAAAATATACTTTTTTTTTGTTAAAGACATGAAGAGCGGTAAATTACATAATTACTAAAAATCTGGAACGTGATGAAACCAATGCTACTATTAACATGGATCACTTTAGCATTACTATAAACAAAATGAAGGATCTTTTCGCTGAGAGATTTCGCTCTTACGTTTATAGTAGACCCTTTCAACACAAAAACAAATGAGAATATTTCAAATATTTAAAGCTATTTATTATAAATTATATATATATATATATATATATATATATATATATATATATATATATATATATATATATATATATATATATATATATATATATATATTAAATCCTATTCAAAGATCATACTAATGACATAAAAATGATTGTGGCTCTTTAACAACTGGGTCATTTTGTAAATTGTAACTATTGGCTCTTCCATCTCAAAAGGTTGCCGACCCCTGACCTAGGGTGGATTCATTCTAATTTTTTATCTTTCATTCAGTAATTTGGTGGTCGGGTTAACCTAGGGTGGATTCATTTCAATTTTTTTGTCTTTCATTCAGTAACGAGATGATTTAATTTATTTAGCTAATAAAATATCTAAGATCTGCCATGATCTGCCATGATCTGCCATGATCTGTCATGATCTGCCATGATCTGCCATGATCTGCCATGATCTGCCATGATCTGCCATGATCTGCCATGATCTGCCATGATCTGCCATGATCTGCCATGATCTGCCATGATCTGCCATGATCTGCCATGATCTGTCATGATCTGCCATGATTTATCCTCGAAGACAAGCAGTTGCTACTTACCATTTTCTGGCAACCATTTTTAGTTGTCCTTCCCTGCTGTTGTCAGGAGAGATCATGAGCTGATCGAAGGTTGCCAATATCCAAATCGATAATATCCAAATCGATAATATCCAAATCGATAATTTCAGATGTCGAAAACACAAAACATACAAGCCGGTATGTGGCGTCTCTCGCTTCACACGTTCTGGGTGTTAGAATAGTTTACCGGTGATCTGGGTGTGAGAAAAGTTTCCCGGTGATCTGGGTGTCAGAAAAGTTTCCGGTGATCTGGGTGTTAGAAAAGTTTACCAGTGATCTGGGTGTCAGAAAAGTTTACCAGTGATCTGGGTGTCAGAAAAGTTTACCGGTTGATTTGTTTGCAAATTGATGACAGGACTACCTGGAGACGACAAAGAAATGCGTGTTAATCAACAAATCGTTAATTTGACATCATTAATCAACACATCGTTAATCGTGACATCATTAATCAAACATTATTTATCAAAGCATCATTAATTAATGCAATATTAATCAATACTTCATTAATCAATAAATTATTAATCAAGACATACTGTGTATTTGATGTATTTCTAACAGAGCGCCTACCATTTGACAAATGTACGAACTACAGATCAAGTACAGTTAGAGTGCTAAGATATCGCAATGAAGATTTGCATCTATCTCTACGTTTTACATTACATTTCCTGAGTTGGAAAAACTTGGTATGTTTATAGACACGAGAACTTCAAAACCGTTTCAGTTACTTAATGAAATTTCTTAATTGAGTATTAGATTATATTCGTAGTTAGTTTTTTTTAATGAAGTTTTGAGCGATTTTCTATAACTCTACTTTCGGTTTCTATTTTATTTATATTATAAAACCCAATCGGATTCTGCATTTTGTTTTGCCACAGACCGCGTCAGATTACCTTGTCATGTTCGCTTTAGTAGGACAATTTTTATCATCGGCTTGTGAGGACTGATACAGATTTGCAATAGTGACAGAATATTTCGTTTTTAAGTCTTATAATAGTTATAAATACACATTGACCATCACGATTTACATACACATTCACACCCTCCCCCATATAGATATATATATATATACATATATATATATATATATATATATATATATATATATATATATATATATACACACACACACACATATATATATATATATATATATATATATATATATATATATATATATATATATATATATATATATATATATATATATATATATATATATACACACACACACATATATATATATATATATATATATATATATATATATATATATATATATATATATATATATATATATATATATATATATATATATATATATATATATATATATATATATATACATATACACATATATATTTTTATCCCCTTTGTTGTGTGTAGCGATGGGGGGGGGGGGTGACACCATGTAGTGCCGCACCGCGACGTCACTGCTTCCTGACGTATACTTGCATTCATTAAAGATGGTTTATTGATATGTTAGACAAAACGTCTAATAAAATTTTTTTTACACAGTATAATAAAAAATGTGTAATTAAATGGTGATTCAACGTTCTGTTAAATAAAAAAAATCATAAAAAACGTTTTAATAACAAGCTTTTATGTAATAATGCACTAAAAAGGAGTAAATAAATTATACACTACTATTTAAATAACTATAAAGGAAAGTGTGGGTTTCTTTAGTACCTATTGGATACCTTTACTAATATTTGAGAAGAGACCCACGCTTTTCGTTATAGTTATTTAAATAGTAGTGTATAATTTATTTTCTCCTTTTTAGTTAATTATTACAGAAAAGTTTGTTATTAAAACTTCTTATTTTTATGATTTTTTTTTAGTACTTTACATGTTTTTATTTACAATGGAGTTGCATGACTAAAAACCATTGCGCACATATTGAACGTGATGATGCGTGTGGAGTAGTTGGATAGGACTGCCTGCTAATTTGGTCAAATTTTTAATTAATTCATAAAAAATTAATCAGGCGACCAATTAAGTCAAATTGAATGTCATGATGCATTATCTTCATGTCTTGACCCACGTACCAATTACGAACATTATCTGTCAGTTAGGAGTGCCTGCAATTTCGCTCGGGCGTTTCGATCTAGACTGACGACAAACTGACGACAGACTGACGAGGAAGGGAGTTAAATAAAAGCTTGTAAGCAGACAAAATAGAAGCGTATTTGTTTTCAGTGAGGTGGGCTGAGAGGGTCTGAGCTTAAAGCTGGAGCTGAATTTGTGAGTAAACAAAAATTATAAATGTTATGTGCAGTTCAACATCTCTGTCTATGGTAGTTGTTCGTTTGTTGCCGAATTGTTTGTATGAAAGAAACAGGCATACGTAAAGTCAAACACTCGATCACCATTGTGCAATATTTTTAAAGTAGTAAATTTTTAACCCAAAAATAAATTGATGTCTATCCAATTCAATTTTATAATTGTAAAAAAAAAATGTCATTTTAAAATTTTTTGTTATTGTAATAGACGCTAAGCGTAAAAACAAAATCAAAATAAACATATCATACTTTACAGAAATCATGACTGCATCTGAAAAATTAAACAAATTATATCCCTTTATCTTTTATTTATGTTTGCGTTAGTATTATTGAATTGTTTACTTTTAAGTTTGCATTTTATTTTTATGTTTGCGTTAGTATTATTGTATTGTTTACTTTTAAGTTTGCATTTTATTTTTATGTTTGCGTTATTCTTTGCGCTTTTGTTTGCGTTATTTGCTTTTGTTTGCGCTGAAGTTTTCGTTAGCATAATTTTTTCGTAATTGTTGGCGATACAGCATCAGTATAGATATTGAGAGGTGGGGGAGGTTACAACCTAAGTACCTGCAGAAATTTGGGGGGGGGGGGGGGAGAGAGAGTTAGCGATGCTATCCCAGTTTCTAAAGAATTCATTTATTTTTAACGGAGGGGGGTATGGGGAGGGGGTATGGGGAGGGGTTGGCGTAGGGGTATAACAAAAGTACCTGTATTTATGTGTGTGTGTGGGGGGGGGGGGGGGAATGCAGGTGATTAAACCCTAGTACCTGTAGATATTGTGGGGTCGGGCGACACAACCCTTGTACCTCTAGATGTGGGGTCGGGCGACACAACCCCTGTACCTGTAGATATTGTGGGGTCGGGCGACACAACCCCTGTACATGTAGATGTGGGGTCGGGCGACACAACCCCTGTACCTGTAGATGTGGGGTCGGGTGACACAACCCCTGTACCTGTAGATATTGTGGGGTCGGGCGACACAACCCCTGTACATGTAGATGTGGGGTCGGGCGACACAACCCCTGTACCTGTAGATGTGGGGTCGGGCGACACAACCCCTGTACCTGTAGATATTGTGGGGTCGGGCGACACAACCCCTGTACATGTAGATGTGGGGTCGGGCGACACAACCCCTGTACCTGTAAATATTGTGGGGTCGGGCGACACAACCCCTGTACATGTAGATGTGGGGTCGGGCGACACAACCCCTGTACCCGTAGATGTGGGGTCGGGCGACACAACCCCTGTACCTGTAGATATTGTGGGGTCGGGCGACACAACCCCTGTACATGTAGATGTGGGGTCGGGCGACACAACCCCTGTACCTCTAGATGTGGGGTTGGGCGACACAACCCCTGTACCCGTAGATGTGGGGTCGGGCGACACAACCCCTGTACCTGTAGATGTGGGGTCGGGCGACACAACCCCTGTACCTGTAGATGTGGGGTCGGGCGACACAACCCCTGTACCTGTAGATGTGGGGTCGGGCGACACAACCCCTGTACCTCTAGATGTGGGGTCGGGCGACACAACCCCTGTACCTGTAGATGTGGGGTCGGGCGACACAACCCCTGTACCTCTAGATGTGGGGTTGGGCGACACAACCCCTGTACCCGTAGATGTGGGGTCGGGCGACACAACCCCTGTACCTGTAGATGTGGGGTCGGGCGACACAACCCCTGTACCTGTAGATGTGGGGTCGGGCGACACAACCCCTGTACCTGTAGATGTGGGGTCGGGCGACACAACCCCTGTACCTCTAGATGTGGGGTCGGGCGACACAACCCCTGTACCTCTAGATGTGGGGTCGGGCGACACAACCCCTGTACCTGTAGATGTGGGGTCGGGCGACACAACCCCTGTACCTGTAGATGTGGGGTCGGGCGACACAACCCCTGTACCTGTAGATGTGGGGTCGGGCGACACAACCCCTGTACCTGTAGATGTGGGGTCGGGCGACACAACCCCTGTACCTGTAGATGTGGGGTCGGGCGACACAACCCCTGTACATGTAGATGTGGGGTCGGGCGACACAACCCCTGTACCTGTAGATGTGGGGTCGGGCGACACAACCCCTGTACCTGTAGATGTGGGGTCGGGCGACACAACCCCTGTACCTGTAGATGTGGGGTCGGGCGACACAACCCCTGTACCTGTAGATGTGGGGTCGGGCGACACAACCCCTGTACATGTAGATGTGGGGTCGGGCGACACAACCCCTGTACCTGTAGATGTGGGGTCGGGCGACACAACCCCTGTACCTGTAGATGTGGGATCGGGCGACACAACCCCTGTACCCGTAGATGTGGGGTCGGGCGACACAACCCCTGTACATGTAGATGTGGGGTCGGGCGACACAACCCCTGTACCTGTAGATGTGGGGTCGGGCGACACAACCCCTGTACCTGTAGATGTGGGGTCGGGCGACACAACCCCTGTACATGTAGATGTGGGGTCGGGCGACACAACCCCTGTACCTGTAGATGTGGGGTCGGGCGACACAACCCCTGTACCTGTAGATATTGTGGGGTCGGGCGACACAACCCCTGTACCTGTAGATGTGGGGTCGGGCGACACAACCCCTGTACATGTAGATGTGGGGTCGGGCGACACAACCCCTGTACCTGTAGATGTGGGGTCGGGCGACACAACCCCTGTACATGTAGATGTGGGGTCGGGCGACACAACCCCTGTACCTGTAGATGTGGGGTCGGGCGACACAACCCCTGTACCTGTAGATATTGTGGGGTCGGGCGACACAACCCCTGTACCTGTAGATGTGGGGTCGGGCGACACAACCCCTGTACATGTAGATGTGGGGTCGGGCGACACAACCCCTGTACCTGTAGATGTGGGGTCGGGCGACACAACCCCTGTACCTGTAGATGTGGGGTCGGGCGACACAACCCCTGTACCCGTAGATGTGGGGTCGGGCGACACAACCCTTGTACCTGTACAGACCGTTGAGCGGTTGCACGTGTGTGTGTGTGTGTTTATCTGTTAAGATAAGCTGGTGTCATTAGACCCCTCGACTGCTACATCTGCTCGTCATGTGGTCTCGCCAAACCAATGGAGTAGGGAAAGGGAAATAATTGTTGCTGGGAGAACTTGAAAGGGACGCTATCCATGTATATACTTTTTGAGCCAACATGGGAAGTAAAAGGGGCAAAAATGTGTCTAAACCCAGTAATAGGTTATTTATGATAGGCCGAATCAAATGGCTTCCACGTGGATGCAGACTTCATTATAAAAAATATTTTTCTCTGTAATCATTGCTACATTAAGCGTGACATTGTTGCAATTAGAACAAAACGCTTACACAAAACATGAAACAAAATACGAAGAATTGGTGAATGTCTTAATGAGAGTGATTCTGTTAATTTGAGTGAATTCCTTAATTTGAGTGAATTTATTAATTTGAGTGAATGAGTGAGAAAATTTTGAATGTATCGGTTGTTTCTCTCAATGTTCTCAAGTCGGAAAGCATGTGACCACATGACTACGTGACCACATGACCACATGACCACATGACCACATGACCACGTGACCACATGACCACGTGACAACATGACCACGTGACAACATGACCACGTGACCACATGACCACATGACCACATGACTACGTGACCACATGACTACATGACTACATGACCACATGACCCCATGACCACATGACCACATGACCACGTGACCACATGATCACATGACCACATGACCACATGACCACATGACCACATGACCACGTGGCCACGTGACCACATGACCACGTGACCACATGACCACATGACACGTGACCACATGACCACGTGACCACATGACCACGTGACCACATGACCACGTGACCACGTGACCACGTGACCACAGGAACACGTAACCACGTGGCCAAGTGACCACATGACCACGTGACCACATGACCACGTGACGACGTGACCACATGACCACGTGACCACATGACCACGTGACCACATGACCACATGACCACGTGAACACATGACCACGTGACCACATAACCACGTGACGACGTGACCACGTGACCACAGGAACACGTAACCACGTGACCACGTGACCACAGGAACACGTGACCACGTGACCACGTGACCAGCCAGCGTCTAGGTTTTGTTTAAAGCTAACAGTTAGAGCAACTGGCTCCGTATTAACATAAAACGCAAATTGTTTCCTGAGTTAACGGCTAAAACAGGGGAGGTGAGCGTGTTAAAACAGGGGAGGTGAGCGTATTAAAACAGGGGAGGTGAGCGTGTTAAAACAGGGGAGGTGAGCGTGTTAAAACAGGGGAGGTGAGTGTGTCAAAACAGAGGAGGTGAGCGTATTAAAACAGGGGAGGTGAGCGTGTTAAAACAGGGGAGGTGAGCGTGTTATAACAGGGGAGGTGAGCGTGTTATAACAGGGGAGGTGAGTGTGTTAAAACAGGGGAGGTGAGCGTGTTAAAACAGGGGAGGTGAGCGTGTTAAAACAGGGGAGGTGAGCGTGTTAAAACAGGGGAGATGAGCGTATTAAAACAGGGGAGGTGAGCGTGTTAAAACAGGGGAGGTGAGCGTGTTAAAACAGGGGAGGTGAGTGTGTCAAAACAGAGGAGGTGAGCGTATTAAAACAATTCAGGTGAGCGTGTTAAAACAGGGGAGGTGAGCGTGTTAAAACAGGGGAGGTGAGCGTATTAAAACAATTCAGGTGAGCGTGTTAAAATAGGGGAGGTGAGCGTGTTAAAACAAGGGAGGTGAGCGTGTTAAAACAGGGGAGGTGAGCGTATTAAAACAATTCAGGTGAGCGTTTTAAAATAGGGGAGGTGAGCGTGTTAAAACAGGGGAGGTGAGCGTGTTAAAACAAGGGAGGATAGCGTGTTAAAACAGGGGAGGTGAGCGTGTTAAAACAGGGGAGGTGAGCGTGTTAAAACAGGGGAGGTGAGCGTGTTCCTATTGCGATGCTGAAACCTTCGCACCGAGTGCCCTTCTGCTTGGGGGGGGGGGATGGGGGGGGGGGCTAGGGGCATAGATGTCCATAAAACTCCGACCAGTGATGTTTACGATAGACACCATCACAAATTTTACATTCGCTCATAAAAGTTTATAGTTTACAAACGTATTTCATGAAATTTCACTGAAAACGAGTTGATAAACATTTGATTAGCCCCATCTTTAACGTGACGTCATAAGAGATGGTATTTGTGGTTTTAGTCCTGGAACATGTTAGCTTGTTTTGTCTAGTTTATAACACGGTCCAGTAGTATAGGGCATAGGTTAACAGGGCATAGGTTAACAGGGCATAGGTTAACAGGGCATAGGTTAACAGGGCATAGGTTAACAGGGCATAGGTTAACAGGGCATAGGTCAACAGGGCATAGGTCAACAGGGCATAGGTAAACAGGGCATAGGTAAACAGGGCATAGGTCGAGAGGGCATAGGTAAACAGGGCATAGGTAAACAGGGAATAGGTAAACAGGGCATAGGTAAACAGGGCATAGGTCAACAGGGCATAGGTAAACAGGGCATAGGTTAACAGGGCATAGGTTAACAGGGCATAGGTTAACAGGGCATAGGTTAACAGGGCATAGATCAACAGGGCATAGGTCGAGAGGGCATAGGTAAACAGGGCATAGGTTAACAGGGCATAGATCAACAGGGCATAGGTCGAGAGGGCATAGGTAAATAGGGCATAGGTCAACAGGGCATAGATCAATAGGGCATAGGTCGAGAGGGCATGAGTCAGCAATTAACTCGCGACAAACAACTCATTCAGAAGTTTTTTTCTGGCTGGTAAAAATTCCTGACTCACTGCAATATGGAGGATTGACACATTACCTACACAACACAATCAAACTACACATTACCTACACAACACAATCAAACTACACAATACCTACACAACACAATCAAACTACACATTACCTACACAACACAATCAAACTACACAATACCTACACAACACAATCAAACTACACATTACCTACACAACACAATCAAACTACACATTACCTACACAACACAATCAAACAACACATTACCTACACAACACAATCAAACTACACAATACCTACACAACACAATCAAACTACACAATACCTACACAACACAATCAAACTACACATTACCTACACAACACAATCAAACTACATCCAAAACTAACTACATACGATTGACACATTACCTACACAACACAATCAAACTACACATTACCTACACAACACAATAAAACTACACATTACCTACACAACACAATCAAACTACACAATACCTACACAACACAATCAAACTTCACAATACCTACACAACACAATCAAACTACACAATACCTACACAACACAATCAAACTACACAATACCTACACAACACAATCAAACTACACAATACCTACACAACACAATCAAACTACACAATACCTACACAACACAATCAAACTACACAATACCTACACAACACAATCAAACTACATCCAAAACTAACTACATACGATTGACACATTACCTACACAACACAATCAAACTACACATTACCTACACAACACAATCAAACTACACATTACCTACACAACACAATCAAACTACACAATACCTACACAACACAATCAAACTACACAATACCTACACAACACAATCAAACTACACAATACCTACACAACACAATCAAACTACACAATACCTACACAACACAATCAAACTACACAATACCTACACAACACAATCAAACTACACAATACCTACACAACACAATCAAACTACACAATACCTACACAACACAATCAAACTACACAATACCTACACAACACAATCAAACTACACAATACCTACACAACACATTCAAACTACACAATACCTACACAACACAATCAAACTACACAATACCTACACAACACAATCAAACTACACAATACCTACACAACACAATCAAACTACACAATACCTACACAACACAATCAAACTACACAATACCTACACAACACAATCAAACTACACAATACCTATACAACACAATCAAACTACACATTACCTACACAACACAATCAAACTACACATTACCTACACAACACAATCAAACTACACAATACCTACACAACACAATCAAACTTCACAATACCTACACAACACAATCAAACTACACAATACCTACACAACACAATCAAACTACACAATACCTACACAACACAATCAAACTACACAATACCTACACAACACAATCAAACTACACAATACCTACACAACACAATCAAACTACACAATTCCTACACAACACAATCAAACTACACAATACCTACACAACACAATCAAACTACACAATACCTACACAACACAATCAAACTACACAATACCTACACAACACAATCAAACTACACAATACCTACACAACACAATCAAACTACACAATACCTACACAACACAATCAAACTACACAATACCTACACAACACAATCAAACTACACAATACCTACACAACACAATCAAACTACACAATACCTACACAACACAATCAAACTACACAATACCTACACAACACAATCAAACTACACAATACCTACACAACACAATCAAACTACACAATACCTACACAACACAATCAAACTACACAATACCTACACAACACAATCAAACTACACAATACCTACACAACACAATCAAACTACACAATACCTACATACGATTGACACAATACCTACACAACACAATCAAACTACATCCACAACTAACTACATACGATTGACACATTACCTACACAACACAATCAAACTACATCCAAAACTAACTACATACGATTGACACAATACCTACACAACACAATCAAACTACATACGATTGACACACTACCTACACAACACAATCAAACTACATCCACAACTAATACATACGATTGACACATTACCTACACAACACAATCAAACTACATCCAAAACTAACTACATACGATTGACACATTACCTACACAACACAATCAAACTACATCCAAAACTAACTACATACGATTGACACAATACCTACACAACACAATCAAACTACATCCAAAACTAACTACATACGATTGACACAATACCTACACAACACAATCAAACTACATCCAAAACTAACTACATACGATTGACACATTACCTACACAACACAATCAAACTACATCCAAAACTAACTACATACGATTGACACATTACCTACACAACACAATCAAACTACATCCAAAACTAACTACATACGATTGAAACATTACCTACACAACACAATCAAACTACATCCAAAACTAACTACATACGATTGACACAATACCTACACAACACAATCAAACTACATCCAAAACTAACTACATACGATGGAGGCGAGCGAGTTGACGATAATCTATCCATCATGTTGTTGTGGACATGGAATAAAAACGTGCTTTTTAGCGCAATTTCAAAAAAAGAAAAATTGCGTTTAATAATGCGTCATTTCTGGATGGATCGATGTATTGATGGATGGATGGATGGATGGATGGATGTGTGTCCGCTGCTTTAAGTGGTATCTCCTCCTCAACGAAGCAATATCGAGGACTAATTCCAAAAGCAAAAATGTTAAGCAAGTTCCAAGGATGATTGTGGGCCAAACAAATTCCCGGAATTCCTTCCTGGATCACCCGGAAAAGCAAAAAAACCTCGAACAAATGCAGTTTTTGCTCCATATCTTGGCAACCAGACCACTTAGCGACTTGAAACATTTACCAATCGATTCCTGCCATAATTTAAACCAATATTGCCGAAGAAAGTTTTCAAAAATATCCTTCGTTCGGTCACAAAAAATTTTAAAATATATTTTAAACTGAGCGTCTTGTAGGCCTAGTTTTAATTTAAACTGAGCATCGTGTAGGTTTTTAGCGCAAAGCGCTGAGGTCCGAAAGGATTTTACCATAGCGAATGAGCGGAGGTTCGAAAGGATTTTTACGTAGGTCTGTGAATTCTAAAAAATTAATCAGGGAAATTGCGCTTAAATTGCCACTAGACTTTTTATTAACTTGTTTAGATTTAGCAAACAAAGCAACCGTAAAAATAATAAAAACTTAAGCCTAAAATTAATTAAATTAATTAATTAATATAACTTGTTGAGTTTAAGGCTACATTTCTGTTTATTTTCATCAAGCCTAAGTTA